CTGACCAGCATCTCGTACCCCATGGCACCATCCCCTGTGCAGCGCAGTGCCCCCAATTCTGACCTGCACCTCGTACCCCTTGGTGCCATCCCCCATACAGCCCAATGCCCCCAGTTCTGACCAGCACTTGACACACAGGCCTGTTCCTAGTACAGCCCAGTGTTCCCCATCTGACCAGCACCTCGTACCCCACGGTTCATCCACGGTACAGTCCAGTGCCCCCAGTTCTGACCAGCACCTCATTCATCCACAGTCCCGTTCCCAGTACAGCCCAATGCCCCTAGTTGTGGCCAGCACCTGAAGCGTACATTCCTCCAYCATCCCAGTGCCCCATGGACACCACTCCCTGTTCCACAGGCTCCCAGTCTATTCCAGTGCTTCACATGCCTGCAACCAGTGCCTTCCCGCTGAGCCCAGTGCCCCCAGCATGGCCCAGCACCCCCAGTTCAGCCCCGTACCCAGACAGYGCACCGTGGCCCCAGCTCTGGATCCCTCCATGGGGGCTGCCCACTGCTGTTAGTTGGCCACTTTGGGGATCTAAATTGGGTATTTGTGGGATTCCAGCCAGTTCAATCATTAACTCCAGAACTTTCCTGAGAGCTGGAGGCAAAGAGCAGCAAAGGCTCATCACACACCCTCCACCTGGGTTGCCATCCTCGTGGAAATGGTGGACAGGCACTGGAATTGCCTAAGGAATTGCCTATGGAATCACCATCCCTGGAAGTATTCCATAAACTTGTGGATGTGGCACTTTGGGACGTGGTTCGGTGGTGGGCTTGGCAGTGCTGGGGTAATGGTTGGGCTCAATGATCTCAGAGGGCTTTCCCAACCTTAATGATTCCGTGATACCGGGCTGCCTGCAGGAGAGCACCTGTGGAAATCAGACCCCTGGGCTCCCTATGGGCCACCCAGTGGTCCCAAATTCCCCCAGGGACCCAGGCTCACAGAAAGGTTGGCTCAGGCTTGTTGCTCACATTCACTTCAGAGCTCTGATACACCCTGTGTCATTATTCCTGTGCTTTTGCTCCTGCCTCTGGATCAGGAAGGATGACATTACTCCCCTGGCAGCAGTCTTGATGCCTTCATCTTTTTTTGTATTTAACCAAGATCAGAAATTATCAGCAATTATATTAGAGGATGCCCTGAGGTTTTATGCAAATTCTTCTGTATTTCCTTGCCTTACTTAGATACTTGGACACTGAGATATCCCCGCTCCAGGTTTTGCTCTGCAGCCCCCCAGGGACGCAGGGCAGAGGTGGGTGGCTGAAGAGGCAGATGAGCAGCCCCAGCAGGGTGTAATCTGCAGGGCCATTCTGCACAAGGCCAGCGATAATAATTGAGCGAGAGAAGCTGACAGTGAGGGGAGARAGTTGTCATGGGGTGATTAAAGACCAGTCAGATTATCACGGCAGAGCATTCCTCATGCACCAGCACTGGGCAGTCRCGTTAAAATTTCACAGTGTGTCTGCTTCAAAATATAATTTTACTTCCTTAAATAATAAATTATGGGCCTATCTGTCATTGCCAGCTCTTGGATATTTAGTTGTAGTTTGTCTCGTAGTTTAAAGCAATGATTGCAAGTTCTTCAAGCCCTGGTAGGAAATGAAAGAGTAAAGGCAGGATTTAYACTCCACTTTTCAGACTTTCAAAATTTAATATGCCTCAAATATTTCAGAGTTAGGGCAGATGTATGGGCTCCCTTATCCATAGCATTCTYCTTGAGAGACAGGCAAATTCCTGTGGATAATACAGACCCATGGGGAAAGTTTTCCCTGATCTCTCAGTGATGCCACTTGATTGCTCACTGGATTTACAATCAGGGTGGCAGAAATTAGAATTCCACTTTTAGAAACTCTGGCAGCCGGCTTTTGAGACAGATTTCGGATACCTACATTAATTAAAAAGAAAAATCACATTTGGTGATTTCATGACAAAGATTCATGACCTGCCCAAGGATGGACATTCTGCTGTGTGTCTGGAGATCATCATGAGAATCAGCAGCAGGAGAGGAAGGCACAACTGGTGGGGTTTCCCAGAGGCTGTATCTTCACTACTGGTCCTGTGGATCCAGTAGGAACAGCAGTGATCACGTTGTCCAGCTCTTTGCATTCCTGAGGCCAGGACCCCCTGTGTCATTATCCCCTGAGCAGCTGGAGCACTGGGATGAGGAATTTGGCTGAGAGATCCATGCAAGGCCAGAGACAGTTTTCTGACAATTTCCTGTGTTGTGTTGAGGATCAGGCTTCTCCCACCAGGTGTGTTCCTGAGGAATTCCCACAACCATTCCCAGCATAGCCCTGATCCAGGATGGGCAATGAGCACCTCCTGGCAAACCACTGTCACCTTTTGGCTGCTCTGGCTTTTGTGATAGTGCAGGAGTAACTCTCAGAACAGRAATTCAAATTCCATCATGATTTCAGTGATGATGAATCCTCCCGTGCAGACGTCACTCTGTGCACACAAACCTTAATCCTGCAGTCAGAGAAGGCCAATGCTCAGGTTACACAAAATAGCAACAAGTCCTGATGSTCTGTGCCTTATCCGTGTGTTTATCTGGGTCACAGCTTGGTTGAGTAACCCCTGATTAAAAGCACTGTCACTGAGGAGAGCTTGGAGCCCAGCCATGCAGCATGTCATCGTGTAAGAGGCAGTACTTTGGGAAGGAGACAAAAACATTATGTAAATGGGTATTTCACAACAGCATCTTTATTCTCAAAGTAAATTTTCTATGGGAAAACTGCAACTTTTGGAAATGTGTGTAGCAAGGGATGATGAATACAGCCTCTCTTGGTGCTGCYATCCATTTGAGCTGTCTAAACTGAATATCATGTTGTCCTGTGGCCTGGCTCTGCCCAAGCTGTCAGAGGCACTTTGAATTGGAGACTGCATTGCTCTGCATCTGTGTAGGCAGACAGGGTGAGCTCTGCATTTTCAGAGGATGTGTAGGGCACTATCAAAGGGAAGGTATGCAAAGAGCCTTCTGATAATATCTGCCATGGTAAGGCGGTTGTTCTCCTTGGGTCTCAGGGGTGATTCCCCTCTTGTGTCCCCTTCTGAATTACCCAGCCTGTGATCAGGAGGGCTGAAAAGGAGCTGTGGCACTGAACACAATCAGAAATTAGATTCCAGAGGTGTTGTTGGCTTCTACAGAGGGGATGACAATTCAACAACACCAAACCCAGCCAGGCTTGCACACCCAGAAGCCCCAAATGCTTTGTGCCTGCCCTTTGGGAAAGCTGAAGGTTTATTCTAATTTGTATGACAGATGGCATTCAAAGAGGCCCAAATTAGAGCCCAGTGCAGAGTACAAGGGGTGGATCAGAGCCCTTCTGCAAGTGCCACTTGTCCCACGAAAGTGGGGACACCAGGGGATGCAGAAGTTGCTGTGTGACCCCAGCACTGGTTCATTCCCCYCTGAGCCCAGGGTGCAGTGGCCCAGGCACAGCCCAGGAATGTGGTGTCTGTTTGTGGTGTGTACATCAACTCCTCCTGGCTATGGGGTCTGCCCAGAGAAGGGAGACCCATCCCCATGTGACAGCCCAGGAGAGACCCCTGCCACACACACAACACATGTGGATGCCACCTCAAACCCAGCAGCACAGCCCAGAGCCCTGCGGCTCCTGAGAGGCTCCAAGGCCGGTGCACACTCCTGGGTGACACCTGGAATTTGGTACAGGTATCTACAGGCTGGACACGCTCCAATCCACGCATGACCCAAGGATCATTAGACCCTTAGAAGGGCTTTCCCCTTAGCAGGATGTCCATGGCTGGGAAACACCTTCAGCAGCAGCTGTGAGCACAGACCCATCCCTGGCTGAGACACATGAACCTTCTCCACACAAATGTGCAGGGCTGCTTGGGCAGAGAGCATTATCTGCCCTCTGTGCCTGCACCATCCAGTGCTCTGTGCACAGCTGCCAGCTCGCAGTCTCTGAGGCTGCTGTAGTTTATCAGCGTGGCAGATTTACCTCTGCTTTATGTGCTGGCAGCATATTCATTCCCACAGTTTCTGCAGTGACCGTCTCCAGTAGGGCATTCCTTTGGCACACTGCCCACTTATCTGTGATTACAGACCTGTGCCAGTCTTTGTTTTGCTTGTTTGGTCCTTCACCCACCCAGTGTGCCCATGCCCTGCTACCAGCCCGCTGCTGTGGTACTAGGAGCTCCTGTGTATGTCCAGCAGGTAGCACAGCACAGCCAGCACCTCAGTAGGGTGCTGAGGGCTATTTTACAGGACAAGGCACAATTAACAGAGAGATCTCACAGTYAGA